CTATCTTTTCATTTTTGATGTCCAGTGCTAGTAATACATATTAACATGTACTGTGTTTTGTATCATACAAGACAATATTGATATAGGTACCGGCAGACAATTCATCCTGTAAACAGATAATGTAAACTCATAGTATGGATAAATACTCATAGTATGGATAAATACTCTAAATGTATTTTCTTTTCCTTACAAGTTTCTTAATAACATTTTCTTTTCTCCAGCTTACTTTATTTAAAAAATACCATGTACAATACATATAACATACAAAGTATGTTTAATCAACTGTTTGCGCTATCAGTAAGACTTCCGGTCAACAGTAAGCTATTAATAGTCAAGCTCCGGGGGGAGTCAAAAGTTATATGCAAATTTTTGACAGCATGGTGGGAGCCGGGGTTCGGAGTCGCTAAGCCCCGTGGTGTTCAAAGGTCAAATGTATTTGAAAAAGAGCCAGAGAAGGAGACAGATTACTTTCTAAAGAGTAACGTGAACGGCTGACTTGTCCAATACAGGAATGAAAACCAGAAGCCCGTGAAAGGCCATCTTCAAGGAGCTGAAAGAAAATACCCAGCGAAAATGCTTTCCAAGAATGAGGGTAAAATAATGACATTTTCAGGATGATAACAAAACAGAGAGAGTTCACCAGCAACGGACTATCTCTGCAGGAAATCCTAAAGGGAGAATTCCAGGCATATCCTTACGTGATTCCAGATGGAAGGAATGTTTGTAAGAAGAGAAGGAGTGCATAGAAAGTTGGGTGAAAAAAAGTGGGTAAGTCTAAATGAGCCCTGAATGTATGCAAATAATGAAGTCTCTTGTGTTACGACCATCCAGCCAGGTAGTCTTAACATACCTGTCAATCAGGGGCCGGTAACCAGGAAGCCGAGGAGGTCCGTGCTCCCTGCGTTCTCTGATTAACTCTGCCTCTTCATGAGAAAGTAGATTGAATAGTGCCCCTCCCAAATTCGTGTCCACCCAGAACCTCAGGATGTGACTCCTTGGGAAATAGGGTCTGTGCAGATGTAATTAGTTAAGGATGGAGAAAAGATCCTCCTGGGTTAGGGTGGGCCTAAACCCAAGGACTGGTGTCCTTATGAGAAGAGCAGAGACACAGACACAGAGGAGAAGGCCATGGGGTGATGCAGGCAGTGGCTCCGAGCCTGAAGTCTCCAGGGGCTTTGCAGGGAGGGAGAGAGGGACCGAGAGGATGGGGCGGGGGGGGGTCTGGTCTGCAGGGAGGGCCTCCTGAGCAGGAGCTCGGGTGTGGAAAGGGGTGTCCAGAATCCAGCAGCCAGCGTGGGTGTCCGCTGCTCGCTGTGAGGTGTAGGGTTCCTGCAGCCCTGGAGGACTGGAGCCTCTGAACACCCTCATCTGGCCCATGTCACATGGCCCATCAGTTCTCATCAGGTGGAAACATCTGCCAGGGGGTGGGAGCAGAAGGTTCCAGAGGCTGCCTCCTGCTAGGTGGGAGAAACAGCCTAATTTGCGTGTCTGGAGGGGGCACTGGGTCACTGCCAAGCACTCGTCACCTGGGCTGGACCGCAGCTCTCAGAACAGACAGCAGTGATTTATTCCCAGGAAACTCTGGGTTCCAAGCCTGGTGACCTCGGGGCCTTGGGCCTGTTACTTGATTTCTGGGTGCCTCGGTTTCCCCATCCCAGGCCATCGTATCAGGAGAGACAGCCAACGTTGTTCAGCTACCCAGACCCGACCAGGGGGACCAGCTGTGCTGTGTGCCCAGGACCCTCCCGGCTCCAGCACACAAGGGCTCGGGTCCCCGGAGAGTCCTCAGTGCCAGGCGGTGCAGGCTGGACCCGGGGGGAGCCGTACCCACCCGGCAGCCTGCGGCCTGCAACAGCCTTTCCCAGGGAGGTCAGCACGCGGGACCCGCCCACACCCCTACCCCCGCTCAGTTTGCAATAACACAGGGACGTCCGCACGGCCCTGCGAACAGCTGGGCCCCGTTCCGCTCAGCTCTGAGCTCCCGTGACTCACCCCGCCGGACCTCCCACAGACCAGGCCTGCCGGCGAGGGCTGCAGACGCCACGTCCCCAACTCCCGCCTTCCACGAGGCAGCACTGCGCCTCCTGAGGGGCACCCCGCCCCAAGACGGTCTCCCCAGCTCAGGCCCTGCCCTCTGTAGCAGCCGCAGGAGTCTGGGTGAGCTCTGGGGTCTGAAAGCAAGCAAGAGCCAGGCTGGGTCCAGGCCCCGTGGCCGCACCCGCTGACCACCCTCCTGGTCCATCCTCGCAGGGGTCCAGCCCACCGGTCCCACGCCTAGGAGCACAGTGCTCCCCGGGCACCCCCCTCTGAGACAGTGGAAGGTGGCCCTCAGGCCTGGGCCGGCCTGTCCCTGCATCCCCCTCCCATCCTGAGGCCCCTCCACGGAACCCTCTGCGCTGAAGCCGGCAAGCTCACCTGTCACCAGAAGCTAGAGCAAGTCGCACAGCTGGCCCTGAGCAGCCAGCCCTCTGCTCCCCACAACCTAAAGCTGAGGCCCTGCCTTCCCCCCGGGGTCTGGGTGCAGAGGGAAAGAGATGTCTGGAGGCCACTGGGTCCTGGCTGCAGGGACACGCTGAGGAGCCGGTCTGACCTGAAGGGGCCTGTGCCCCCGGGGCCACGGTCCAGAGCTGGTGCCTGAGGGGCAGTGCTCCCCAGACGGCGCCAAGGGTGGCGTGGCCGACGCCATCTCTCTCGCTCAGCCCAGCTAGGGTGACGCTGGGTTCATCCCCACCGCGGGACATCCCAGACTCCATCGAGAGGATATTCCTCAAATAAAAATACGATGGTCGACAGCGAAAGAGCTAGTGAGGGCCTCAAGAAAGTCAAATTGATTCCCATGAACTTGAATGATTTGCCAGAAATTTCATGAAAAAAAATGTTTTTGAGACCACATTAAGATAAACACCAATTTTAGAGTTCCACATGACTGAGCTGAGTGCCTGGCACCGTACCAGGGATTATAAGTACGGACACAGCCGCGGAGGGGTGCCAGCCATAACCAACGTTACCCAGGCCGGCAACGCGCTTTCACCAGCAAGTTGGTTGTATTGTAATGGAGGCTCTGTAAAATAGTTCGATTCCACAACCATGTCCCAAAATAAAATGCTTTCTAAAAGTAGGAAAATACATCTGAGTACATTAAAGTGAAATAAAATGTGTGTCTGTATTTATAATCCTTGGTCCATTACCCATCTCGGCCGCGTGGACCTTTAACGCTCATTGCTGGTGTTTATTCCAATTTGGTCTTATTTTTTATGTTCTTCATGAAATTGCTGTCAGATCATTCAAATTTATGGGAATTAATTTGAATTCCTTGAGGCCTTTGCTAGCCCTTTCTCTGTAAACCATAGTATTTCTATTTGAGAAAATATATTCTTGATAAATGCTGAGATACCTGATAAGCTCAAAGCAATTTCTGCTGAATGGAGGATACTCGCAATCTTAGGTTTATTTGTTTGGAGTCTTGGTTTGTTGTTTTTGTTTTACTTAAACGTGTACATATTTCAACCCCAATATTCTTTCAGGTGCATCTCTCTTCAGAGAGCCTTTCTTCGTCAAGTCTATTTATCAGGCAAAATTCAGATGGGTGGTCTCTACATATGATTCCCTTGAACAGCTCTCTCAATTTTGTTCCATTTAGCTTCAGGAAGTAAATGTATCCAATTAAACCTAAAAGCACCCTCAAAACATTCTTCCCACAAGTACGATTTTCCGAAGCACAATTATACGACTTGAAATTAGATCTAACGCACTGTCTGAGCCCTCCAGTTAAATTTGTCTGTTTCCTCCTTTGCCTTCATAGGGATAAGTATCAGTGGCCTCAACTCTGCAAACTTTGTTTTCAATCATTACAATTCTTAAAAGATTCAAAAGCTCACGACGTGCTCTGACTCTTTGTCAAAACGTTTGATGAAAGCTCTCCAAGCGAATTTCAATCAAATGCAAAAGACTCCTTTTCCAAAACGTTCGATACCATCCCAGGTAATTCTTCGATGGCCCAAACATTTCTGAACTCACATGGCAGGGAGCAAACAGAGAACGTACAAGCTGCTACGCTGAAGGGTTTTTTCTTTAATGACACATCATCTTTGAAACAAATTTTGTAGTTCAGTTTAATTTTTTGGCTGCACCACGCGGCATGCGGTACCTTAGTTCCCGGACCAGGGATCGAACCCGTGCCCCCTGCAGTGGAAGCGCAGAGTCTTAACCACTGGACCGCCAGGGAAGTCCATTTTGATGACTCCACCTTCTATATCTATTGGCCACACGTCAAGCTAGCTTAAATGCAATTAGGAATTTCATACAAACCACAAGCAGTTCCCAATAATAATGGATTTCTTAATTTAGTCAAAATATTGTATTTTTTATCACAGTGCTGTGATCCTTCCAAATTCATCTTGTAAACCCCTTCAAGATGATCAAAATTTCAATGTTGAAGGGTTTGTTTTGTTACTGAATTTGCACCAGGATTGACAGGACATCAGCAATTTCACATTTGTTCGAATGAACTTCCAGATGCTTTACCTATATTCCATCCACTGGATTAAAAAAAAAAAGCAAAACATTTTTGGAATTAATTTAACTGATTTCTTGCTTGAAACAACTGACGTCGCTAATCTGAACAGGAGTCACTCAATGGCTCGTAAAGTTCTTCTGAGGATGCGCTTACAAGACTCGGAATAAAAAGACAAGCAAAATCCATTTCAAAGAACAGACGTTCCCTCTGAAGAAAATGACAGGCTCCAGAGTCACGTGTCCCTGACCTGCGGCGGCACCTGTGCCATTGCCCCAGGCTTCGGGGGACCGCCCACTGGTGACCAGCTGGCACCACACCCACAGCCGTGCCCTCTGGCTCCCGCCCACTCAGCGTTGTCACCACTGCCCCACATTGGAGATCAATGTCCACACCGATTTCATACAAGTTAAATGTTCCACTTTCTCGAGAAAAAGGGATCAAACTTCAATCGTTTTTTTAAGTGCGATTTTCATGTTTCTGCTGGTTGCCACTGAATGGGTTTATTGCAAAATTTTAAAAGCATTACCAAGAGCAATAAAAAAAAAAAATAGCTGTGGATTTGCACCATTCAATAAATGACAAAACCACGGGAGGGGGTTTAGCCTATTCTGCCTCTACTCCATGGCAGGGCCACTCGGCCTTCCTTCTGCACACGCCATTCATGGTTTCCTAACGGGTAATTTCCACCCCTCCCCACCCACTGGCCGCCTAGTGACTCACGCCCGTCAAGACCACAGCACCCACCATGCTCCAGCCCCCCTCACTTGGGGGTGGGCCTGAAAGACAGAGCTTCAAGCAGGAAGCTTGTCATCAACTCTGTGTGGCAGCAGAAGCGGCAGAAGATCAGCGTATACCGTGCCTCTGGGGCAGGGGCAAGTGGCTTGAAAGGAGCAGGATTGGAAGGGCAGGGACCCGGAGGTCTTGGCGAGAGGTAGGTGGGCTCCCCTGCAGGTGATGGTCTCCGGGGGGCACTGGTGTGAGCACAGCCACGAAGGCGGGATGCTCGCCTGGAGAGGGTCAGCCAGCCTCTCTCTCATCACCCAGGGTTTGAGCAATGAGTGCGGGAGCAGAGCTGCGTGCCGGTGAGGCTGGGGACTCTGCACCGGCCCGCCGACCTCAGGCCCCTCTCGCCGGGGCGGCTCTAGCTTCTGCCCCTGCTGAGTGCGCAATTGTCAGCAGCAAGACCTCCGCTGAGGCCTGCACAGGGCGCCATTCCTCCACGCAACCAGCCAGCATCCCTGTGTCAAGGCAAGTATATCAGAACCATCAGACTTTCTGCCCTGGAGGCAATTTGCCTTCCTGCATTGGTCAGTGTTCCAGGCGTGGGTTCTCTTTCCCTGTCCACACAGCCTCTGCCGACAGCATTCACCACGACTTCACAGGGCATCTCACTCAACAACACAGGGTCCAGCAGGATGTGCCTCAGGCCAGCAGATCCCCATCATGGTGAAGGTAGAGTGACAATGGGATCATGACCCCGGGACCCACTGGTCCTGTCTCATGCCTTGTCACCCAGAACCTCCAGCCTGCTAGACTATAAAAGGCTCCTGCAAGGCTTAGCTACTGCCTCGGCTTCACAATGACCACTGTGGAGCTAGGACACTGTCCTTCAAGATACAATGTCTAATAGCCAAAAGCTAGAAACAGCCCAAATGCCCGGCCACAGAAGAACGGATAAACAAACGCAGTCTACCCACGCAGTGGAGTATTATCCAATCACAAAAAGGGATGTAGTACTGGCCCATGCTGCAACGTGGATAGACCGTGAAAACGTTACTCGGTGAAAGAAACCAGGCGCGGAGGACCCACGCACCGTTCGATCCCATGCACAGAAAACATTCAGAATAAGCAAGTCTGTGGAGACGGAAAGCCGATCAGCAGTTGCCAGGAGACGGGAGGAAGAGGATGGCAGAGATGATTTCATGGCTGTGGGGTGTTCTTGTGGGGCGATAAAAATGTTGGAGAGCGAGACAGAGGGGACGGTCACCCAACGTTGTGAACACACTAAATGCCGCTGAATTGCTCACTTTAAAGTGGACGATTACATGTTAGTGAATTTCATCTTGATAGAAGTATATTAAGTGAAAGAGAAAAGAGAAACATTCAGTATATATTTTGAACCATTGTCCCTCAAGATACGATATGCATTTTGAACCTATGGCCACCGTACAGTGACTGCTCTGACCCCAGTAATTAGAAGACACGTGTCCCCGAACCAAGGTGTGGAGGGCGGAGTGAGCCTTCTCGCTACGGCTTCCCGTGCCCACCGGGGAGCCTGCGCTTCCCGACCCCACAGCTTCACACTCTGTAGGATGAGAGGTCCCAGTCCCCAGGGATGAAACCCCTCCTTCAGGGCAGTTTACAAGGATCCCTGTGAACCTAACGTGACAATTGCCACCCGGCTCTGGGTTCCTCTCGGCAGCTGAGCCCGAAGCCAAGAAAGGAGTCTCTCCAACCTACCTCTCTGCCCCCTCTCTGTGTAATGGGGGCAGGGAGGCGTCGTCCTGGGCCCCCTCTTGGGGCTGCCGCCCTGGGGATGACAGTCAGTGGACAATCACAGCAGCCACCCTGGGGCTGGAAGGCTGCGGTTATTTCACAGCAAGCAACCCAGGCCAGGAAGAGTGCGGGTACAGGTTGTGGGTGCAGGGCGGTGAGTCTCGCTGATGCAGTGGAGGGCACTGGAGTGACAGTGCTGTAGCTCGTCCCACCAGCTCTCCTGAAGGGAGGTGTTTTCTGGGGTGCGTGTGGGGGGATGCTAAGAGCCACCACACTGAAGCATCAAAGACAGGACAGGATGGGCTTACAGAGAACCTCAAGGGATCTGAACAGTGCAAGGGATGGACCGTCCCCACCGGGTGGATGCCCCGCCCACATGCCCTCAACCTGCCCCAAGGCCGCTGGCACACAGCTCCCTCCCACAGCGACCCCTGCTCGCCATGTTTCTCTGACGTGGGGTTGCTCTGTCCACGAATGCAGGGGATCGAAACCCCAGAATGACCCTCGAAGAATAAGGGATGAGAAGGGCCAAGAAGCACCCCAGCACCATCACCAACCTCATCGGGACGACTCAGAGGCCTGCTCAGTCAGGCACACTCCCGTCGGTGGCCCCGCCTCGGAGTGACTCCTAACATCACCGCCAATGTAATTTACTTGCATCCAAATCTTCGCCTGGGGGTCTGACTTGGTGGGAAGCCAGTCTACGACAAACTAAGGCCCTGAGGCCCTCCTGGGCAGGAAGAGGTCAGCTGTGCCTGAAAAGGAGAAGGAAAAGTACAAAGTCATTCCCCAGAATCGACCACACGACGAAGGGACGGGGACACTGCCGAATTTGCCACCTGCGCCAGGGAAGGAGGCTTCAAGCTGGACTCACCCAGGCAGACCCAGAGCCCAGCACGAAGCACGGGCCGCACTCCTCCACTCCAGGTCCACCCCACGTCCACCCTGCCCAGCCTGGCCGAGTGTCCAGCGCCCTCTTTCGCCCAGAGGACAGTGGGACCCTGGTACCTGGTGGTACATCCCCTTCACGTCCTTGACAGCCTGTCCTCACCCTGCAGTCAGCGGGGCTTAGCCAGATGCCACCTGATGACATCCCCACCGCACACTCTACTCCCATGAAAATCTTCCCATTGCTCCAGGGCTGCAGTGCCTCTGGGACACGGGACCACTGGGACGGGGTACAAAATATTGAAATACTGCCTCATCGGTCAGTAAATGGTGACGTTCCATGCTCCCCTGTCCTTCCCAAACGCCGGCATCTCTCCGAGACTACGGGGTTCATTCCAGGACCTTGCTCCAGCCCGGCTGGCCATCCATTCTCACCAACCTGTCCCACTGCCTCCCCACTGTCGCCTGTGCCTTTGCTCCAGCCTCACCTCCTCAGAGCCCTGGACCGGCCCCACTCCCTCCAGCCACGGAGCACAGGCTGTCCCTCCCCGTCACTAGTTCCTACTCATCCGTCAAAATCTGACTCAAAAGCCGCTTCCTCCAGGAAGCCCCCACCCCTCCCCGGCCCCCGAGACGAGCTCTGGTCCCAATCCTTCTTCCGTGGTTCCGGCACCTGCCTTCTCAGCACCTCCCGCCCAGGTAATTACACTCAGTTCTCGGCTACTCAGCTAAATCTCTCCTCTCCTCTACAGGGCTAGCTTCTCCGGAGCAGGAACAGGAACAGGCTGGGGGTATTTTTGGTTTTTCTTTCTTTCTCATCATTGTATTCTCGGCACTGGGCAAGGTACCAGCCCAGAGCAGGAACTCAGCAAGTCTCTGAATGAAGGAGTGAATGAAATGCCATCCGATCTGGGCCCCAGCCCCCCGCCAGCCCCCCCAACTGGTGACGGCAAGCAGTACACGTGGGAAGCTCGGCCTCTCTGTGACTCTGGACTCTCAGGAATGCTTCGGCAGCACAAAGAATTCTGCTCCAAACCCCAGCTGGACCTCTTATCTTCAAGGATTGCACAAAATCCTGGAACTCACTTTAATCTTAACTGTCCATTTAGAGAACACAGCAAACCAGTAACGCTCGAGGGCAGGGGCGGGCGGGGAGCGAATTCACTGATCCTTAATCTCTAGCAGATTCTGGGCGGGGCTGAGCTGGCTCTTGGGAAACACAGGGACTGTTTCTTAATGCTGGTGTTGAAGTCCTTCAGAGGCAGATCTGGGCTCGCTGGCTGCACAGGCCCCAGCTGGAGGGCTAGACACAGCCCTTCTGGTGGGCTGACGAGGCCTGACAGGGCCGCCGTGACCAGTCTTTGAGAAAATCCATGTCCCACCTTCTCCAAAACCTTCCCTGACACCCCTTTCCCCAACTCCGAGGGCGCATACAGAATTTTACACGAGTCAGCAGTGGTCCGTGCTCCAACTCCACCACGACAAGTATTTACCCCACACTTGCTGTAGCTGGAGGGGCTGGGAGGCAAGTGGGTGCGGCGGGGAGAGCAGGGAAATTGCTACCACCAAGGAGGTCAGGGCACCGGGGCAGTTAAGTAGGCATCCCTGGAGCTGGACCGGCCTTCAAATCATGGCTCTCGGCCCCTCCGTGGCCCGTGGCAAGTCACTTACCCCAGAGCCTCGTCCATAAAGAGGGGAAAACCACTCTTCAAACATTTACACTGTACCTGGCACATACTAAGCACCTGATGTTTGCGAATGACTTTATTATGTACCTACTGTATCCCAGGATCCGGGCTCAGTAATAATACCCGCAGGATCACTGTCCTGGGGGCCGTATTTCTGGCCACGAAAGGATCCTGTTTGGGACTCAGATTATAATGAAGCCCATTCTTCATCTACGGAGAGAGCACAGACCCAGGGTAACAAGCGTGCAAATGAAGAAGCAAGACGGGAAGAATCGTGGAGGCACACATGGCAAACAGAGCCCTCCCGGGAACAGACAACTCTTTCTGGAGAGTTTCTTGGAGGAAAAGCAGCGAGACACAAACGCTCTGCTGGAAGGGTTCCTGCAGTGAAGATGAAGAGCTCCAGCCCCTTAGGTGCACACAGGCCAGGTTGGGAGCAGCATGGCACAGACAGAAACACAGTAACGTGATCCTCGGGTATCTTTGCCGAGCGGTCACTCAGGCAAGGTCCCAGGCAAGGTGTTCTTCCCCCTTTATCTCATGGATTCCGCCCAACAGCCCAACATAGCAGGCACCGCCATCACCCCAGTTTTACAATCGGGAGGTTCTGAAGGGTCATTAGATTGCCCAGGATCCCACACGGTGAAGCCAGGATTTGAACGCAGGCCACTGACCCCAGAACTGCTCTTCCAGGACCACCTATGCAGAAAAGAGGGAAAAGACCAGAGCAAAAGCCTGCCCTCACAGCATCACTGGGTGAAGCCCCAAGCTCTCTGGCAAGAAGGAGCTGGACATGTATCCTCCGGTCCCACTGCCTGCCTCTTCTAGATGTCGGACATACCCACGTCGTGGGTGACTTCAGAGTGTCCTCCCCAGAGTTTTCATGCTAATGTGTAGGCTCAGCCATTTGCAACTTTCATCGTCTCCCGAAATCCTGAGGGAGAGGATGCTTCCTTCCAGGTGGTATCAGGCATCATATCTGTCTGCAAGGAGTAGACCCTTCCTCACTGCTACAGCCGAGATTCTGGAAAACCAGTTATCAGTAGTAAGGAACTGATTCCAGCATCCACTCTATACACCCTAACCCATCACGTAGGATGCCTGCTTCTGGTTAGTCCTCCTACAGCTTCCCCAGACCAGCAGCCTCCAATCAGGGCATATCCGTCCCCTTTTTTCCACTATAAAACTTATCCACTCTGGGACTTCTCTGGTGGCGCGGTGGTTAAGAATCCGCCTGCCAGTGTACGGGACACGGGTTAGAGCCCTGGTCCAGGAAGACCCCACATGTCGCGGAGCAACTAAGCCCATGCGCCACAACTACTGAGCCTGCGCTCTAGAGCCCGCGAGCCACAGCTACTGAAGCCCGCGCACCTAGAGCCTGTGCTCCACAGCAGGAGAAGCCACCACAACGAGAAACCCGTGCACCGCAACTAGAGAAAGCCCATGCGCAGCAACGAAGACCCAACGCAGCCAAAAATAAATAAGTAAAATAAATTAATTAAAAAGAAAAACCCACTTACCCACTCCCCTGCCTGCCTCTGAGTCTCTGCCAAAATGAAAGTCGTGATACATGACTCCCTTGCTATAGCAAGACCTGAATAAGCAGTCTTTGCTTTTCTTGTTTTATTGGCCTTCATTTATTTTCCCCTGGGGCTCTATGTTAAGAAGGATTCTGAGGCTTCTTCGGGGCTCAGTGGCCAACTAACAATGGCCCGTGGGCTGTGGCAGAGGTGCTAAGAATCTGCCCCTGTCTTAGAGCAGCCCCTCCTGCTTCAGCTAGAAAGACGCCTCCATCGAAACACCCACCTTCTGCTTCCGTGATCCCAGCGGTAATGCAGATCGAAATGCAGGAGAGGCAGCTGGTGGAGGATACAGGAGAGTCTGCTCACCCACAAAGTCTAGCCAAAAGTTCAACCCAGTACTTGGCCGAGTTTCCCGCTGTCCCCTCATCTAGCACTAGAATACAAGAGATGGCACAGAAGATCTGAAGGCAGATGGTAGATGGCCCTCAAATCTGATCATCTGACCATAACATCAACGCAAAATGGCTGAGATTGTGGAAAGGTAAAGGAAGCGTTTACCAGGCCAAGATGGGGAGGCCTGAGCCAGTGGTAGAAATGAGCAGCTGACCCGCCAGTATCTGACTCCCTTTCCGAGGTGTGGTTATGCTGGGGCCCGGTGCCCTGCCAGTTTCCCAGCTTCCCTTGCAGCTGAGTGGAGCCATGTGATTAGTTCTCACCAATGGAAGGGAAGAGGAAGTGCCCCAAGCACTTCCGGGTCCGGGTGGTCGAAGGCACACACGTAGCCGTGCTCTCTCTGTACAGGCTTCCGGGAGCCCGGGTGGAGCCTGGGTTTCCGAGGAACGCTCAGAGGAGAACCAAGCAGGAGCAGCCTGATCTACTGAGTGGGCGCCGTGCTTTTGTGATGCAGCCGCCGAGGCAGCCCCGCCACCGGCAGTGCCCGCAGATCAATGAAGGAGCGAGGAGTCCGGGCGAGCAGAGCAGGCCTCCCCCGTCCGACGAAGAGAGGAAAACAGAGTGGGAAGCTCCTGTGTCAGACGTGTGGGGGATAGACAGCCCTGGCCACCAGATGGAGAGCTGGAAGCTGGGTCGCTTTCCCAGAGGTCAAGTTTGTCAATATGTCAATATGAGAAAGGGCGTTCACTCGTCGTTAGCAGTCTTCGCCGGGGAAGAGAGTGAGACAGATTCCAGGAGGTTGGAGGAGGCATCACTGTGTCGACAAAGCGAGGGGAATCCCGTCAGGGTCTCCAACAGCAGATGGGAAGAGGGCTTGCTGTGCTCATGGCCACAGAGCGTGTTCCTGGTGGCGAGGCTGTTGCTGGGACGTCCAGGGATGTCTACATGCAGCCCTGCCCATCGTCCTCCTCACAGAGGAAGGGACACACCCAGGAAGAGAACAGAGGGTCAGCGGACACGGCTTCCTTTGATCTGGGTTTCTGTTCCACACCATCTGACGCAGAGCCCCAGCAAAGCAGATGGGGGCCCATGACCTGAGCTCAAACCCAGATGTGGCGGGGCTCCCGCTCTCTAGCTAACCCCCTGGTACAGGGACCCAGAGCAGTGACCAGTGCCTCAGGCACAGAGCGGAGAGAGCATAAGGTGGCCAGGCCTCCAGAGGACGCCAGGGCTCAGCTTCTAGACCTCCCGACACGAGGTCATTTGAGATTGGCCCGCCCTGCCTGCTGTGGGCCAGTCTCTCTCTCTGTCCAACAAGGAGATGGAGCAGAGGGCCCTCTGTGGTCCCGCCCAGCCCCAGGAATCCTATGATTTCATGAGCCCGTGGTTATTATCCTTGCATAAGCTCTCCAGCCCACAGGACCATGAACCATGAACTGAAAAGTTAATCTCAGAACCAAGGAGATGTGTGGAGACGGGAGGCCAACCCAGCTTCGGCACAGCTGAAGTCACCCCAGCCTTATATGGAAAAACATTCTTAGCTCAGGTCCACACGAAACCAGGTAACAAATGTGGCTCCCAGGCTATAGTCTGCTGACCCCAGCTGTCATACATAAGGCCCAAATCTCAGTGGCCCAAGAAAATAAAAGTTTGCTTCTTCTTGTGTCACATCCAATGATCGTGCAGGCGGGTGGCCTGTTCTTCCAAGCCAGGGAGCTGTGCAGGGACCCAGGCTCACAGAGGCTCTGCCAGAGGCTCTTCCAAGTGTGGTTTCCCAAAGTCACCACAGGCATCTGTGTCCAAATCAACATCCAGTCAGCGCAGGAAGGGAGCACGTGGGGGGTTGTGCAGAGGGTTTATGGACCAGGGATCAAGACAGTGCCCACATTCCCCTGGCTGGACCTTGGCCACATGGCTCCACCCAGGCACAACAGGGATGCTGGGAAATGTCATCACTGACCCGCAGCCTGGTCCCCAGCAGCAGCCCGATGGACCATCTTTCATGGGGGCAACAACAAGGGTGGTTACGGATGGGTGGTGGGGATTAAGGGAGGGTAACGCGTGTAAAGGACATGATGACACCTGGGAGGCCGTTCTGTATGTATTATCCTAGGTACCAGATATAGAAAAGGTTATAACGTGGGGATATTTTATTTTAAAGACAATAAAAATGAAACCGGCGTTCCCATGCCCACCACCCAGATTAAGAAAGAAAACTTTAGGGCTTCCCTGGTGGCGCAGTGGTTGGGAGTCCGCCTGCCGATGCAGGGGACACGGGTTCGTGCCCCGGTCCGGGAAGATCCCACGTGCCGCGGAGCGGCTGGGCCCATGAGCCATGGCCGCTGAGCCTGCGCGTCCGGAGCCTGTGCTCCGCAACGGGAGAGGCCACAGCAGTGAGAGGCCCGCATAACGCAAAAAAAAAAAAAAAAAAAGAAAGAAAACTTTACCTATCGTCTTGAGAGCACTCTGCATCCCAGTCCCATGTGCCCCGTCTCCCCAGAACCACCCTCTTTTGGCCCCCGGTCCCACATTTCCTCTCACTTCCCCACCTCTTTGTTCACCCGAGATCCCAGAGCTCAGTGGCGTCTGCCCGTTTCCCAGCTTCACGTCAGTGGCACGGTGCTGCTTGCCTCCTCTTGGTACTCGGTCTCTTCTGCACATTACATTTGACATTCATCGTGCATTTACACAGCGAAAGAGCCTTTATTTCCATCGCTGTATGTTGTTTGCCTATACACACGACAAGTTACTTACCCATTTTCCTACGGAGGGACAGTTGGCCTGCCTCTCGCTTTGGGCTGTTGAAATATGTTTGTACACATCTCCTGGGGCCCATGTGTGCATTTCCCGAGGGGAAGAGCCTTGAGTCACAGCGTACGGCAGGCTGAGCTTCAACAGATGAGGCCAAATGTGTCTGGAGGGGTTATCCCGCTGCCCACCTCCCCAGGCAAGGCGCACAGCGCCCGGGCCCCTGGACAACACTGCACGCTGATCCTACCTGTGGGAGCACGCCCCCACACCTCATAGCGCCTTAAGATGCCAGCCTCGCACCTGACACTCATTACCATCCAGTGAGGCGCACAAAGCCGGGTCGCCGTTCCCATTTGACAGATACGGGCCCTGGGCAAGTCGGAAGTGGGACATTTCCTATTGTCCCTCCACTGACCAGGCCCGGCTCTGAGAGGAAGTGTATGTCCCTGGCCTCTGTCCTGGTGAACCCGAGGTCAGGCCCTCAGGGTCCGGGGCCGACTAGGTCCTCGTCATGCTCTGCACTGGAGGGTGCGACCTGCTTTCCCCTCAAGCCCAGGACCAGGCCAAGCCAGCGCCAGCACCGTCTCACAAGGGCTCTGCGGAGGGATGCTGGAAGAGCCAAGGGCTGCACGTCACTCGTTTGCGTGTAAAACAAACTCGATTTAAATTTCAGGATGCGCATCTCCACCCCGCATAATCCCGAGGATGAAATTCCGTGCAGAAGCCCAGGCACCCGTGCTGAGTGGGCACCTCCCCTTGCTGCAGTGCCCACCCCACCCCACCCTCCCACAGGCCTGGCTGTTGTGGTCCCTCGTCCTCTGTAGCATCTCTTCCCGCTCTCCTTCTCACGCACCTTGGGCAGATATGGGGGGTCAGGGGACTTCCCAGGCGGTCCAGTGGTTAGGACTCCACGCTTTCACTGCAGGGGGCTCAGGGTCGATCCCTGGTCGGGGAGCTAAGATCCCACACACTGTGCAGCATGGAGTGGCCGAAAAAGAAAAACTGGGGGTGGGGGGTGGGGGTCAGCCCCTCACCCAACACCCAACTGTGTAGCCTCTGGACTTTGAGCAAATGCGGTAATGGGAGGAGACTCTTGGGACCCTTGGAAGGATAACTGTATTTTACAGGAGGGAGGGACATGAATCACTGGGGGCCAAAGAACAGACTCTGCCGGATGGATTCTAAAGTGGCTTCATGATCCAAGCCATCTGGTGTAACCCCTTCCCCTTGAGTGGGGGCTGACCTGTGACCTGTTTGTGATCACTAGACTATAGCAACGGTTATGGAATGTCCCCCTTGTGAGTACTTTACAGAATTGTATAATGCCCATCTTTCTGGGAGACTGTCTCCCTTACTGGCTTTGATGAAGGAGCTGCCGTGTGAGAGGGCCCCACATGACTGAGGGTGGCCTGAGGGCAGCCCCCGTAACAGCCAGCGAGGAACTGAGGGCAGCTTCCAGGTGACGGCCAGCAAGAAACGGAGGCGCTCATGTGACACCCCACAAGCACCTGGATCCTCCCCCAGCAGCCACAGGAGCTTGGACTCTTCCCCGGCGGAGCCTCCAGATGCAACCCAGCCTCCTGCCCCAGAAACTGCGAGATGACAAAAGTGTGTTATTTCACACTGCTACGTTGGTGGTGAGCATGAGATGCTCAAAGTGGCAGCCATACTGGACAGAGGATTTACTCTGCTGAGCGTTTTAAATAAAATAATATCTCTAACTTCAGTGACCATGCTAAAATGCACAAAGTACTACTCAAATATTGAAGACCACTCTGGCTCCCAAGACCCATTAACCAGAAAGAAGTTCAGACTCAAAAACACAAACTCATGCTCAAGGTTTCTAAGCCAACTGTGACTTGGGAACCTACCTCGGCTCCAGTGGGATCCTGTCACCCCTTTCTTTCCCAAGGTCTCCAGCTCACCAGAGGATCCCCAAGCTCAGTTCTCTCTGGCTACCACCCAAGGGTGTCATGGTTGTATCTGCTTAACCAAAGCCACCATTCATGCTGCGTTAGCGTTGCTAAGCATTTGGACATTCAGACCCTTTCTTAGTCTGCTCAGGCGGCCATAGCAAAATGCCATAGACTGGGGGCTTGGACAGCAAAGCATTTCTCACAGCTCTAGAGGCTGAGAGTCCAAGGTCAAAGTTCCAACCAATTCAGTCTCTGGTGAGAGCTCTCTTCCTGGCTTTTAGATGGCCACCTTCCCACTGTCCTCACATGGCAGGGAGAGAAAGACAGACTCATCTCTCCTTATAAGGACACTAATTATATAGGATCAGGGCCCCACCCTTATGACATCATTTAACCTTAATTACCTCCATAAAGGCCCCATGTCCAAATATAGTCCCACTGGGGGTTAGATAAAGGGGGTGGCCCATTCAGTCCATAAGAGACCCCCATGGCCATCTGCAAAGAGAGGCTTATGTCTCTCCCTCAACCATGGACAAGGGAATCTACCCTGGACTTTCTCTTATTTCCTTTGACAATAAAGGAAACTTTATTGTCAAAACTTCCCAAAACATTTTCCATCAAACACCAGTGTGCATGCAAGAGTAACAGGTGTTTTGAGAAAAGAAGATTCCACAGTGAAATAGGTTTGGGGTGACAGGGTTATACCAAGTGTGACAGGCCTCTCTGAGCCAGGGGTGGTTCTCCTTGGAATGGATGCGTGAATGGCAGTGCCTCCGGCCCAGACACCACGTGGCCACTCGCCCTTCTGAGTCCAGCCAGTGAATCTGTCCCCAAGGTGAGTCAGAGGCTGGCGAGGAGACCCACCTAGTCCAGCAGACAGGGGAGCCCCGAGGGAGCCAGTTCTGTGACAGGACCACTGGTCTCACCCATTCGCTGACACGTCCTGACCCAGTTCCTGCCTCAATCACAGTTTACTGCCGCTTCACAAATTGCTCTGCCAACCCATGAGCAAACTAAACACGAAGCTTTTCCTCCCTTCAAATGTTTAAAAGGCCATCGAGGTCCTGCCGGCTGCACGAGGCTCCCTGCTCAGACTTACCACCCCGGAATCAAAGCCCCAGGTCCTGACAAGGTGGGGGACCCAGCAGGAGACACACGAGGGTAGCCACGCCGTGCACCCATTCGGCACTCCTCTGGGAAATAATCAGAGCCTGGC